ACACACACACACACACACACAAACAGGTACCCTTCACTTCGATGTCTGCTATATCTATGGGTCTTAAGCTGTAATTTATCCAGCAAAAAATAATGCATGCATAAAATATACTGGGTGCCATAACCCCATTTCAGTCAAGGTCTGAGCCCATTGTTTCGTTGCTGGCACTGCAACTCATTTTATGACACCTCTTAGCCATGTGCTCTATTCATGTCCAGGCATAGATGTCCGCTTTTGGAGAGAAGAAGTTCTAATCATTGTCGTTTTGCCCTGGAATGGTCTCTGACATCTGTCATGACTTCTGTGCTTTTAAATTATCTCTCTCTCTCTCTCTCTCCTGGATCTTAACCGCTGGCCAGCGAAAGCAGACTTCCCCCTGCAGTGCTCCAGTCTTGGAAAGATAAATGCCCACTGGCTGTCACTTGATGGATTAAAGACCTTGCGGTTTGATTGATGCACGACTGCGCAGGAGACAGCTCTGTGCGGATACTGTATCATCAGCCCTTCAGAAAGGCTGTTGCAGAAGATTACTTGGTGAACATCCTAGCGGTGCTTGGCGTGAAGTTGTGCAACTCTTCTGGCTAACTGAATCTAACTGAATCTAATGGATGATGTGCCCGGGTGCATCGTGGTCCTGCGCATCGTCACACACCTGACTGTGCACATGAGCTCCTTGTGAATTTGTCACAAATACCCATGGGAAGTTATGCAAATCTCATGCAAACACCAGGAGAATTCTAGCTATCACCATCACCACCATCATAATCATCATCTCTAGTTCTATTGGTTCTCGGTTCTTTAAGCCAGCTTTCCCCCCTCCCCTTCCATCACTTAGCTTTTTTTGTGTTTTAACGTGTTGACTTTGCTCATCTCTCTCTTTTTTGTTTCGATATTCTTTCAATTCTTGGTTTTATATTGCTCGGACTGTAAGCCACCCAGAGTAGATTCGTTTAGAATCTAGATGGGTGGGATAAAAGCCAAATAAATAAATAAATATTGAAATAACATGAGAAAAAAATGTTGCCAATAAAGGAAGCCATGCCCTGTGACACAGGAGTGTTGTCAGTGTGATTTTGTTCGCGAAGGGGGTCCAGCAGGGTGGCAGGAAAGGAATGGGAAGGTCCCAGCAGCTCCCTGTTTTAATCCTCTGCCTCAAGGTAGGGTCCCATAAAGACCAAGAGATTTTGTGAGGCCCCACCTGTCTGGATCCAGACCTGGTCGCACATCCCACATGTGCTTACAGCATTTTTCCCAGACCTGTTTATCTCATTTTAGTTACATGTCTAGATTTTACAGCATTTTCCAAAATGTTTGCACCTATATACCTATTTGTGCACCTCTTTGTGAGGAAATGTATACAAAAGATAGGGGGGGGGAAATAAACATGGAGAGTTGGCTTAGGTATAAAAATAAAACCGAGACAAACAAACAAACAAACAAACAAACAAATAAATAACAGAGACAGAAATCTCTCTGAGTGGCTGAAAACCTGTCAGTCTTTAGCAGGTTTCGCCAACCTCTCACTGCAGTTTTCTATCTGTGTAATGGCATGCGGAGATAGACAGGTTGGGTTGGGTTGGGTCGGGTCAGGCTTTGCATCGCATTTTTCTGCCTCCACTTCACACAATTGGTTTGTTTGATCAGTTGCTCAACCAAAGGAAGACCCAGCACTAGACAGAGAACAGCAGAAAGAGCTCACCGCCCTTGCGTGACTGTGAAAAGGTGTCAGCAGGATCCTACCCTTTATCTCTAGGAAGACGGGCTCCTTCCAACCCCTCTCTTGCCTGGGTAGATTCTTCTCTCTTCTTACCTGCCAGCTGGCCAACGAGGCCGTTGAGGTCACGGCCAGAAAGCTCCATTGTGGGCTGCTCTGACAGGCAGCTGGCTCACATCGGCCAGTCCGAGGGATGTGCTGCGCTGCTCAGCTCCCTCCCTTCGGCCTCCCGCCCCTCCGCCTGCCAACCACGGTTGCATAAAATTGCTGGGACTTCTCCTGCATTAAATAAGAAGTGAAACCACTTCTCTTCCTGAGTGAGGCCTCTCCCGAGGAACAGCCAAAGAATTTCACTCGCTTTGCATTTGCAGCGATAGAAGCCAGGAAGTGGCTTTAGAGAAGCCGCTGTTTTGGACAGCCGCGCAGAGCAGAGGCCGGAGCGAAGGCTTATGTTTTGCCCCGCCTGTGTGGCCCAGCAGCTCCCTCCGTGCAGGACACTCTCCTCTTAAGGCAGAGTTTTTTGGGTGGCCCTGCAGAATGTTAACCAAGGGCAGGGGTGCATCTAAACAAACAAAACAAACAAAAACCACCCACCTGGTTTGGCATGTTTGGAATCGGTTTTGAAAATGCTGACTACACAACACACAGGGAAGCACAGATTATTTCACCTGGGAAATGTGCTCTTTTGGTTGGAAAGTGAGGTATTTTACTCAGCTGCAAGAGGGTCGTTTATTTTAAATTGCTAGGGAAACCAATGCTCTTTGAATCCTTCCAGCCCATGTGAATGCCTCTGCTGGTGAAAATTGTGTCTGTGGGGTTTGTTAAGCCAGGGATGGCAGGATATCACAGTGGTTTGGGGCGGCAGGGAACCCTTGCAGTCTGATCGGAGAGGGAAAGGTTGAGTCAGGGAAAGCAGTCCCTCCTTAGCAAGCCCAGAAGCTGTCGATTTCCTCAGTTCCCCTGGTCAGTTTCTCTTTGCCACTCACTGGTGTGCCAGCCCTCCGGCCAGCCCAGGAAGGCTGCTCTTCTTCTCCCTCCTGCTCCTTCTCCATTCATCCCCCCCCCCCAAAGTGTGTGTTTCTCTCCAGGGAAATCTTGCAGTCTGATCGGTTTTATTTATGCCCCCTATTTGTTATACTGAACTAGCAGTAGATTAGATTGCAAGACTTTTTTTTTTAAAAGAAAATTTAAAATAACACGACAGCAACAGAGGCTAGTGGCTGTAAGAGGCAGCCAGCCCACGGGCGGGCAGGTGCAGGACAGAGCCTCAAATGCAATTGTTTTTAAAAAATCCGTGCAACCTCCTTGGCCGATAGACAACAGTTTAAAAACTGATTAAAAGCTTTCCCCAAAAGATGCACACGCTGACCCAAAAACCATGTGACTACTGCTTGACTTTAAACCCACTTCAAAAACTCTGATCTTTTCTCTGATGTGTTGACGTAGTGCAATCACACACCCTTGGTGCTTAAAATTAAAAATATCTGCTTTCAGTTTCTCTCCTCTGGCAGCGACGATCCCTGGATCTCTCACAACTGTTTGGTTGCCCTGCTCTCTCCCAGGTCCCTTTCAGACAACCACAGGGGCAGAGTTTGGAAACTAGGATCACCAATCCGTTTAATGCGTTCCAATGGGGAAAATAGTCATAGTCTTCCAAAAATCGCCCATAGGGAAGCCATTTTGCAAAGTGCCAATCAGCTGTTAAAATCGCTGTCTTGCGAAGCATCGGTCCCGAAAACACCCATTTTGTGGGTCGCAGACCTAGCTGTTAAAATCGTCTTCTTGTGAAGCATCAGCCCTGGAAACAAACAAACCCCGTCTTGTGAAGCATGGACCGAAATATCATCCAGCGGAAATCGCCCATAGGAAAGACTGTTTTACAAAGTGCTATAGCGATTGCAAAAACTCATCATCATGTGGATTTGTCGTTTTGCAAGGTCATCGTCTAGCGGGGCACCACTGTGTATATATTTATACAGGACACTAAGGGGCCTATTAGAAGCAGATTAAGGATGTGGATGGGGAAGGGAAGCATGACCTCCCCCTGCGGCCCTGGGAAGGAGTACGCCGTTGGGTTCCTGTTGAACATTGATTTGCTTTTCTTTGGAAAATCCAAGACAAAGTCTTGTGGCCCCGTGAGACTAATGGGGTGTTATTTGCCCGACCTGTGTGTGGACTGTGTTCTCTCTTCCTCAGACTCATGAACCTGCTATTAAAGGAGACAGGGTGGCCAAGAGAAACTCATGAATCTTTCAGGCGAGGCAAGATTCTTCCTTGCGTGTGCTGGAACAGACGCCAGGGGAAGAAAGCCATCCCTCAGAGAAGTTCTGCACTTTTATTTTGAATCAGGACAACCCGTGCCATCCATTCCTTGGCAACCATTCACAACCAGAGAGAAAAGCATGCGATGCGGAAAGAAAACACAGGTGGGTCGTGGCTCTGCTCTTACTCAGAGCAGAGCTCCCTTTAGGGGCCGTGCTGAGATTCAGAGGGCCGTGTCGGCGTTCTGGGTCGCCTTGGCCTCCCGAGGGTAGTATTCGGCAAGGATGCTCTCTGGGATTCGCTTCAGCAGCTCTTTGGGGAAGGTCCGGAGCAATTGCCAGCCAATGTCCAGAGACTCAAAAATTGTCCGGTTGTCGTAGGCCCCTGGGAGGAATGCAAATTATAAGGACATCAGGGCAAAGGTTCAAAATAAAGGATAAGGGATGATCTGGGTCCCGATGCCCTCGTGAAGTCTGGGGAGGGGTGGGGGAAGATCCTTGAAACCAAAACATGGAAGTTTGAAAACTAAAGTTCAACAGGTTTTAGAAACTGGAAGTAGTCTAGCTGGTAATGTTTTTAGTCTGTTGTAGCGCAAGAGAACATGGAAGCCTTGCAGCGCCTTTAGGAGTAACGAATTCTATTTTTCATAAGCTTTTGTGTGCCCATGAATAACTTCTTCAGATGAACGGAGTGGCTGTGTCTCTGGGGGCAGTTTAAAACTGTTGACAAGGAGGGTGTGTCAGGGCACAACTGGATTTTGTAGCTGCTACAAGACTTCTGGTTTCTCTTGGGAATACGTACTCTGTTCTGTTCCAAGGGCTCTGATGCAACCATTGGCATGTATAACCACACAAGAATTCAAGAAACTGGCCTTGAGAAAGTCAAAACCTGTCTGGAGATCCAGCTTCAGCCTCCCACTTGGCCATAAAGCTTCCCGTGGGGCCTTTGGCCAGCCACTTTTTCTCTGCCTGACTACCTCACAGAGTTGTTGTGGGGAGTGGGAGAGCGATGTGTGCCATGTTAAGATCCTTGGAAGAGAAGCACAATGTAAATATAGCCATTAAACAATGAATTAAGACTACACTCTGATGAAAAGCAAGGAGAGAGATAGTCACCTGTATCTTAAGGAGAGATCAGAGAATGATCTTCTGGGCTAGAGTATCAAAGGCATCTCCTAAGAGAGCTTCTTTAAAATCTCACTGTAAGGTTTCCGCATCTTGTCTTTCAGAAGCTCCCACTTTTTTTTATGGCTCAAGACCAATTATTATCTTTGCTCAGAGATCCCATCAGGCAGGGGTGCAAATTTTTCCTTCCTTCCTTCCTTCCTTCCTTCCTTCCTTCCTTCCTTCCTTCCTTCCTTCCTTCCTTCCTTCCTTCCTTCCTTCCTTCCTTCCTTCCTTCCTTCCTTCCTTCCTTCCTTCCTTCCTTCCTTCCTTCCTTCCTTCCTTCCTTCCTTCCTTCCTTCCTTCCTTCCTTCCTTCCTTCCTTCCTTCCTTCCTTCCTTCCTTCCTTCCTTCCTTCCTTCCTTCCATTTCTGCCCAGCCTACCTTGTGCAATGAACTGCTTCTCGAACTTCTGCAGAAACTCCAAGTAGAGAAGGTCATCAGCAGAGAGGGCTTCCTCTCCAACCACCGCCTTCATGGCCTGGACATCCTTGCCGATGGCATAGCAGGCGTACTGAGGACGAGAGCACAGGACAGGGGTGACTCTGAATCCGGCCCCAGCCCTCACTGAGAAACAGCTGGGAACGGAAGTAGTTTCTGTCCTGATTATGAACAATGCCCCCCCCCCAAATTCTGGGGTATTCTGGGAGCAGTCATTTAATACTTTCCCCTTTTCCATCTCTGGAAACAGCCCTTCTTCTCTGGGCTCTTATGGAAGCAGAACGCTCCCTAGAAGTCAGTTCTTCAGTGTTATCCATAAAAAGGAGGTGCCTTGCCTGGCTTCCTTTTGTAGACAATCTAACCTGAAGTTCCCTTTGCAGATCACTTTTATTTTTGTGAACAAGGTCAAAATAAAACATGACAGGCAAGCAGACACACTTCCCTGCTATCTGGAGTGTGAAGCATGAACTGGTGTATCGTCTAAGGAAACTCAGTGAGACGTGATGTGAAAGCTAGCTCTGAGCCAAACTTTCCCAGGGTCCAACTATTATTGATTTGGCTGTCAGGGACAAGCTCGCCCTTGGAGGGGTCTCTCTCTCTCTCTCTAGCCTTGGTCCTTGACCAAAAGCCCATTGTAATGGGGAACACCCCTCCTGGAGGGCCGAATGCTTACCAGCTGATTGGAGACATCTCCATGGTCCTTCCTGGTCATGCCTTCGCCGATAGCTGACTTCATCAGACGCGAGAGGGACGGGAGGACGTTGATGGGAGGGTAGATCTGCAACCCAGGAAAGCACACAGCACACAGACCCATTAGACTTTCAGGCACGCAAAACACTCTCCGCGCGCACACATGCCTACAGATCTACCAGCTCCAGAGGGGCGATCTCCATCTCCATACCTCATCATCTCCAAAGGACATAGTGACTGAAGGATAATGGGAGAGCTGCAGTCCACCATCCAAAGCAGTAGTTCCCAAACTTGGGCCCCCAGATCTTCTTGGACTACAACTCCCAGAAGCCTTCACCACTAGTTTGGCTGGCTAGGATTTCTGGGAGTTGTCGTCTAAGGACCTCCGGCTAGGATTTCTGGGAGTTGTAGTCTAAGGACCTCTGGGTGACCCCAGGTTGGGAGCCAAAGCTCTAGAGGAAACCGAACTGGAGAAGATGGGGGGGGAGGCAAAGTCTCGGATGAAATGGCAGCAGGATGTATCCCTTGAGAAGTTTCCCAGTTTGGGGAAAGACCTTCTGAAGGTCCTGGCTCAGAGACGGGGGCGGCGGGTGAGGAGGGGGATCAGGAAGCTCATCCTTCCCTCTTTTTTTCCTCAGCTCTGAAAAGGTAGGATCAGGAGGACTGAGCGACGAGAGGGGGGGATCGAGGGCCACCTACCTGTCTGTTGTGGAGCTGTCTGTCCACGTAAATTTGTCCCTCTGTAATGAAGCCGGTCAAGTCCGGAATGGGGTGAGTGATATCTGGGTGAAACAGAAAACCAGGCAGGGGGGGGAGATTGTTAGCCCATGGCCAGGTATACGCTGCAAGGGGCCCTTTCCCCAACAGCTCCATAACAGGTAAGTGTCCTGGGACCACAAGCACCGGAAAACGTGGTGACTGCCTTGTGAAGAAAACGACCGCCTCCCTTCAGTGTGGCTTAGCCCTGACGTTGCCCCGTCTGCCATGACTTCTGCCGGTCTTAAAGATAGAAAAGAACTACTCTCAGGGCCGTGCCCATAACTCCCAACCTCTGGGTCCACAGCCAGATGGGTTTCAACCCCTGAGCAATGCAGGATAGAGGCTTGAGGCTGGGTGAGGGCAGCCACACGCCAGGGCAATACCTCCACCCCAAGAACTGGCTTCCTGACCTACAGAGCAGAACGGGGGCGGGGGGGCAGGTCAAGGGTAGCGCAGGTGGGTGAGTAGGGAGAGCTAGAGCCACCTGCCTCCCACCTCCACCTTCCCCTCCTAAACCTGCTTGGCCCCTTCCCCCCCCCATGGTTTCCCAGCGGCAGGACAGAGTGCTACCCTGATGGGAGGAAGCAGTTTTTGAAAGGGTGGGGGCACGGGGGGCAGGAAGAGGGTTCTGTTCCCCTTCTTGGGTCCTTGGAGGGTCTCTAGAGGGTAGCAAAGACGAAGGAAAAAGGGTACTCTTGGCAGGGATGTTGGCCAAGAGAGGGGTTGCGCCAGGTAGGTGTTGGGGGGAGAGGAGAGGAGTGCAGCCAAAGAGCCCAGGAGAATTTCGCTCACCCAAATGAAATTGTTGTTGAAGGAGGCCAGAGGTGTGAGCATGCCGGAGCATCCCTTGGAATTCTCCCCTCACTCACCCATGGGGAGCAACATCTTCAAGGTTACAGGAATCCCTCTCCCTGCAGAGCAAAGGGCTTCCAGAGGATCTGAGTCCATGCACCAAGCCGTGCTCTGTAAGCAGAGGGAACATCTTCCCCAAGCCAGCTGCCGTTCCTGATTCGGTCAACAGCTTGTACAAAGGTTGATCCTAGTAACGGTCCTGCCCTTCTGTGGATAACAGAAAGGAGATCATTTGTGTCCTTCTCCGGTTCTCATTTTCATTCTTAGTATGACTGCAAATTTTTACAAACCAGAAGTTCCTTATAAGTGCATTATCTTTGCTGGTAAATCCACACCTCTTAGAAATGCATGCAGTCACAAGATGGGTCTTTTCCAAATCATGAACACTGAAAGGTTGGCCAGGTGAGGATGATGCCATGGGTTCCTGCAAAATGGAACTATCTTTGTGAAAACACTTTTCTATGAGCACCTTCTGTTTGGGCGAATTCCTGCAAGAGGTCTGTGGGGTGAATACCGATGGCTCGTGTTTCCTATCTCTTCCTATCAGCCTTCTCCCATGTGTGGCTTGTCTACTTTTTAAATTTTGTGTTACTTTTGATATGATATTTTAGAGTTTGGTTTTGCCGAGGTTCTATTTTGACTGTTTGTAAACCGCCCAGAAAAAAAATGCTTCGGCACTAATGAGACAGTTTGTAAATTAAAATAATAAACAAACAAACTATTGCCAAAAAGAAAATACACCTACGTGTTCCTCCAGAGGACTAATTGTAAAGAAATTAGACTAATTTTTGAAATAGGACTAATTTTTAAAGAAATCACCTACTTTATTTGGGACATGGTCTGGTTTCAGGACAAAGAAAACGCCCTTTCCTCAGAGCCAGATGCATCCAGCCCGGTGTTGTCGGCTCTGACAGTCCGCTTGCTCTCACCCTCCGGTAGACAAGCACCGAGGATTTACACCCCTGGAAGTGCAGGGCCCTGGGATTCAACGTGGACGGGGCTGGGGCTAATGTGTC